GGCGGAAAGCCGATTGCCTATGCATACGATGCCATCGCAGAGGCGGCAACGCAGCATCTGGCATACGACGCCCTGGCGGCCGACGGCGCGCTCGTCGTCGTGGATCCCTTCTCTCAGGCCATACTCGCTGAGAAGGTGAAGCGTGACGCGGGTGCGAGGAAGGTTGTCTACCCGCGCGCTGCGCTGCAATGGCCCGAGAACAAGAAGCTCGGGGTGGAGCTATACGCGAGGTTGGAGGAGTGGCTGCGGACTGGGGTTGTTGTGGTGAGTACTGCGATTTGTCGTTTGGTGACGGCAGCTGATAGACATGTGGCAGCCTAACAGGGTTGAGGTGTTGCCGGGAGGGTTGCACGGTATCTCGGAGGGCCTTGAGCGTATGAAGGCGAACAAGGGCAGCGGTGTCAAGCTTGTTGCTCGCCCGCAAGAAACGGTCTAGGCGTTCAAGTGTGGATGTTTGTACGTTCAAGACGAAGGGGCAGTTCTGAATAGCGTGGAGGTTCAGTTTCACATGTCAAATTGTCGACTCCGGCATGTGGCACTCAGTGACTCACATGGGAGCCTTGCTGATACATGTGTTCGCGTCCGAGAGCGCGCTTTCGATACCAACATAGCTCCATGTCGATTCCTCGCCTTTGGCTAACCCGGGCGAGGAGTCGTGCCGTGTTCAATCCACAGTTCCACGGCGACACGACACGCACAGGCTGAGTAGACCTCACAACTGCCAAGTCACTATGAAATGGAGTCGTAGGCGAGAACCTGCGTTCGCAATTTGCGTGGGGACTCCACTGTCGAATACAAATACAACAGAATACAAATTCGTTCACTACTTTGCACGACGAACCTCACGCAGTCTCCTGAGGACGCGCGATGAGCTTTGTCGCGCTGACCTTGTCCTCCTTCATGCGCTGAAGACCATCAGGAATACCCGCAAGGCCGTTCGGGAGCACCTCAACATGGTTCGGCTGTACAAAGCCCATACTGATCAGCAACGCAGACATGCGCAGTGAGAAACACAGAGTCGGACGTACCACAATGACCCCAGTGCGCAGCCACTCGCTCAGCCTCTTGTAAATCTCCACGCCGACCGCCCTGTTCTCAGGCGGGTGCACACTGCCAAACGCATGGACGACGCGCTTGTCGTCGCTCGCCTTCTTCTTCTCCGCCGGGACAGATTCATCGAGCACGATGATAAGCGTGCCTCCGGGAGCGAGCGCGTCGTACGCGAGCGCCTGGGTGTCCGCGAGCGAGATGGCGTCATAGGCGTACTCGATGGGCTTCCCACCCGTGATCTTCTGGATCTCGGCGAGGATCTCGGGCGCAGGGAGCGAACGGTCGATCACAGCCGTTGCACCGAAAGACTTGAGGAGGGCCTCGTTGCGGAGGGAGGCGGTCGTGATGATGGGTGAGTAGCCAGAGAGCTTTGCGACTTGGATGGCTAGCGAATGGACACATAAGCCTTTCGTTTGGGATCGCAGTGACGAAATTGACATACCATACTGTCCTACTGACGATGAACCGCCGACGATGAACGCAGGCTTGCCTGCGTACTTCTCCTTTCCGCCCTCTTCCCAGGGCGCGGTGAAGTTCGCAGTATTGCCCTCTGGGTTGTGGTTGAAGTTGGGGATGAGGACAGTGGCAAGGGTAAGTGGTACGGAAGCCGCCTGGTCGAACGAGATGTTCTCGGGGATCTACAAAGCCGAAGCACCTAAGTACACGTGCGCTGCTTCGACGTCATCGGCATGCGTACCTTCGCAGTGATCTCAGCGGGAACAAGCGTGTACTGCTGGAAAGTCGCGTACTTGTTCTCGAACCATCCCTGGAAGACACTGAGGATAGGTCAGACGCGTCGCTCGCCGATAATGCGCCTATGCGGTGTAGGGTGCTCACACTTTGTCGCCCTTTGCGACGTTCGTGACCTCCGAGCCGACTTTCTCGACGATGCCCGCCGCGTCTGTACCCAAGATGGTGGGGTAATTCGTTATAAAATAGCCGTACGTCTGGATCTTCCAGTCGACGGGGTTGAGCGCAGTCGCGAAGAGCTTCACGAGGACCTCCTTCGGACCAGGCTCGTACAGCGGAGCGTCGCCGATCTTGAAAGGAGCCTGCTTCTCGGGGACGTAGAGGGCTTTCTGAGTAGACATTGCTTACGACTGGGACTGCAGGAGAGTGGGAGAGTGGGAAGGATTGCTACAGTATTGATATCGCAGGATACGTGGTATATATACGACTTCGAGGGTGCGAGGACTACCACGCCCGGCACGCAAGAATGACGTTCCGTGATCTTCTGAATCGACATTTCCGCCGAATCGGATTTAGGATGGCAAGCTGGGAGGGTGCTTACCAAGCCATTGCTAGTCTGTTGTGGTAGTGAGAAGACTCGTACGCAACATGCCTTGACCCATTCATCGCCGTGGTCGAAAGATACTCGGAAATTGTGTGGGTGAAGGCTTGGCAAATGGTTGCGCAGAAGCATGAACAGACTCGTCGCGAGCAGCGACTCCGAGAGCTGGCAGCTGGAGACTCTTGAGCGCCGGCCCGATAAGATTAGATCAACATTCATCGGCCTTTCGGGTGGGTTCAGGCCTGCCTCAAAATATCTGGACCTGGCCAACCAGACACGCTACACAACTTGTTGACAAACAGTAACTATGGTGGGCCCTTACTTACGGAAAAACTTGAACGAGTTCGCTTGGTGAAACATGTCAAAGTGGAAAATTAATCGTGCCAGTCGAAGACGTGCGAGGAATACGTACCTCCACCTACATAAGTATGTAAGTAATCCTGCACCAGAAGCAGGCTATAATCTCTGGCTAAGGCGAGAACATGTCGGAGAAAATGCTAGAAGATGGTGGCATGCGTACAGCGGTGGATACTTAGAGCTCGTTCCGTTCAGACTCGCGAGATCGGAGAAATACCAATGCGGGGATGTAGGTGCTTCTCACTGGTTGCTCGGCCTAGTCCCATAGTTGAAACTAGATAACCGTCGAGCCAGGAATAAGTCCTTGGATGAAGGCCGAACGAAGTTATACGCACCTTTAGCTCCGGCATATCCGGCCCCACGTTGTAGGCGAATGAATCCACCAGTTCGGTCAATTCTTGACCAGGCCCACCGGAGAGAAGACGGCTTCTGTCCAGACGCTTCAGATTGAACGACTGCAGTCGCTGTCCCCGCCGTGCTCGAACCTCGAGCGCGTCGATCATCAGCTTCCGCGCTGTCAAGGTCCGTGCGGACGTGAGGAAGTCATTGGGATAGTGCTCCACAATGGTGAGCCGCCGAAGACGAGGGCAGCACGATGCGTCCACCGACTCGGCTGAGCAGGCGAGCAGGAGGCCCTCCCACATCGACCAGGCCGCTGTGTACGGACCGATCAAGGACAACGTGTCCAGAAGGGGGAATGCGCGGAAGAAGGATGCCCAGGTCTCTGCAGTGGCGCTGCGGTCGATGGGAGGGCCCCTTCCCACCTCCAGAGATATCTCCGACATCGGCGCAGCTGAGAATGTTCGGATGATGTCGCGCAGGACATGCGGGAGGATCGAGGACGACCGTACATCCATGTGCTCAACGGAGAGCACGGCTGGATTTTCGGTGTCTGGGATTGTGGCGCGCATGCGGCAGCCCCAGAAATCGTCATCAACATCGATGGAGAGAGCCGTTGCGTTGGAGAGTACGGGTAACGTCTCTACCCACGACTGCCGCCCCAGCGAGAGACACTGGGATAAAACGCCCTCGCCCGCTGGTAGCACGTTGTGACCATCCGAGATGACCTCCACTTCAATCGCTTGGGGGAAACGAAATCGACCGAGCATGTGTTGAATGAAGGTTCGAGACGAGTTTAGGCGCAACGTGTCCAACCTGGTGAATGCTATCGGGATGTGGTAGTGCTGGACTGGAGAAGATTCGAATGACGCGTGCGAATGCGGAAGTCCATCGGTCTTCCGACTACCTTGAATAACCAACTCCTCTAGGAGAAGATTATGGCAGAGCATGGTCAAGAGTTGCTCCAGCGTGGTGTGGGGGAAAGTGGTGTTGAGGAGCCGAAGGGATCGGAGGTGCCGACACTGTACGATCGCTCTGGGAACTGCGTACACGTGCAGGGTAAGTGACTGGAGCTGGCATACCAGGTGTTCGACAGGCTCTGGAATGGGCATAGATTTTCCTTCATATGGCCAGTGAAGAGATAGTGATGTCAGCGCAGGGATCCCAGTCGTAGTGTCGGCCAGGAGATGCAGCACGATTCCCGGAATCCGCGGGTTCGATCCGACGAAGGACAAGGAGCGCACCCGGGGTGCGGAAAGTGGGAGAAATGTGCTCTGGAGGACGCTGTCAGGAATTATTAGGGGGCCATGGATGAAATAAAGTGAGAGTAGGCTGTCCTGGGACCGGGAGAAGCAGAGCCGTGTCCACTCATAATCTCTATGCATGAAGATATCGCGCCAGAATGAGGGAGTAGAGCAGAGGACTTCCCGCCAGTGATGGCATACAGAATGTAGCATGAGCCAATTCTGATCGTCCCGATACGTGGGACCGGGGACACCACGAACGAGGTGGAAAATATCCACCAGGATCTCGTCCGGAACTTGGTGCACCGCGAGCTCCCCATTGAGCTGTCTCCGAACGTCAATCAGGTCCATCTTCAGCGAAATTTGCCTTGCGATAACATCCGCAGGTTCCTGTTCCAGCCTTTCTTGTTCGGCGAGAAGTACCATGGTGCGCTCCTGTCGTTGTCGTGCCGTGGACGACAGTGCCCTGAGTCGCGATTGGGGGCTGGTATCACCCCTAACAGAGAGATGTATCAGCGTAGCATGAGTTAGAATGCACTTTTGCTCACATCTCCACGAACAGTTTTACTATGTTGTTCCCTGGGCATGCCAAAGGCTGACACTGACAGCGAAAGGTGCTGGCGCACTCACCGTTGACTCAGGCTGTCCTCGCGCGGTCGCGCATGGCATTATGCCTAGCACATGCGCTACCAAAATTCTTACACAGAAACACCACCAACGGCCTGGTGGTCTAGTAGTATGATTCCTTCTTAGGGTTCCCTTTCAAAAGTGTCGTTTGGAGGAGGTCCCGGGTTCAATTCCCGGCCAGGCCCTTTTTCTTTTCCTTGCCGGTCAGTAATGATCAACGAGCGTTTACTGCCAAGCGTGGGTCGGACTCCGCCCATCGCTGGTGTGTCTACCTACTGCTTGCTCTTCTGCATCTAGTCCTATGTCTTGTTGATTGTCTCGCCTCAGAATACACGGAACTTCGCAGCATGAGCGCCGCTTTGGACCTGATACTGCTCCTCGCGGGCCTGAGCTACGTCTCCCTCGCGCCTTACACAAAGGTCGAAGAGAGCTTCAACCTGCACGCGACGCACGACGTGCTCATGTACGGCATCGGTCGGGAGAACCTCCACAAAGTGCGCTCAGCGTTCTCTGTGCGTGCGAGAATCCTACCCTGATCGCTGGTTGTCTTCCGCTGGATTCGCGCCGTCCTCTTCGCGCCGCTGGAGCAGTATGACCACTTCACCTTTCCCGGAGCCGTTCCTAGGACGTTTGTGGGCAGTGTCGTGCTGGCGTGGGCGACGCAAGTGTGTGTACGGATGGGGTCGTGGTTTGGGATATTCTCGGACAAGTTCGATTTACAGGTCATTGGTGAGTTCGCGTCCTTCGCCTCTTCTTCCCCGTCACGCTCTGCGCTCTGTGTGCTCAATAAGTCATATGTAGCGCGGATGGTGCTCGCAAGTGCGAATGCTGTTGGACTCTGCCTTCTTCGCCGCGCCGTCTCGAGGCGTTTCGGGAGGCCGACCGCGGTGATGTTCGTCCTCCTGACATGCACCCAATTCCACCTGCTGTTCTGGATGGGAAGAACACTCCCCAACATGTTCGCGCTCCTTCCTGGTATGTGCGATTGCAATATGTGTGTGTCACGTCTTACTTTGCTTTGTTGGTAGCGAACATCGCCCTCTACCTCCTCATTGACCGTGCGTCGAACTCGACTCGCCCGTCCAAGTCCAGTGTTCATTGGGCTATCGCATTGCTGACATTTACCACTGTCGTCTTCCGCTCTGAGCTCCTTCTCTTCCTTGGACCATTTGTGCTGCAGGCCATGATTCTGCGGTATACGACCTTGTACGATGTCGTCAAAGTTGGACTGCTGTCCGGCATACTATCTGCTGGTCAGTTATCCTTTGCGTCCTATGAAGACGTAGCTTGCTGATTGTACGTCAGCTCTGACTGTGGTGGTAGACTCCTACTTTTGGCAACAGTGGCCTCTGTGGCCGGAACTGTACGGGATCTACTTCAACGTTTTGCAGGGCAAGAGCTCTGAGTGGGGTGTGCGTTTTTTGTAAACAATATCGCTAACTCTGCGGCTGACTTCCCAGCACGCCGATAGACTTCCCCGCCCCACGCATACTTCACGTCGTTCCTCCCGAAGCTGCTGCTATCTTCGATGCCACTTTCGGCTCTTGGCTGCCTGCTGGACTCGCGGATCCGCTCCCTGCTATTACCCTACCTCGCCTTCATATGTATCATCAGCGGACTCGCGCACAAGGAATGGCGCTTTGTGATCTATGTTGTCCCCGCGTTCAACATCGCCGCGGCACGCGGCGCTGTGTGGTTGTGAGTGCGCCCAGTTGCAATCGTCGTGTATCCTCGTTCTCACCTTGAGTGTGCAGGGCTGGTAGAAGAAAGGGCACTCTGATGGGCCGTTTGTCCTTCCTTGCGGTTGTCGCGATGCTTGCGGCCAACTGCGTCGCGACGTTTCTGTTTGCGCGGTCGTCGTTCGCGAACTACCCAGGCGGTACCGCCCTGTACGCGTTCAACCATCTCTACGAGTCGGAGGAGAATGGTACTAGTCTTCCCTTCCCTCTCAGCAAGCACTGGGCTGACTGACCAATGTCATTCAATAGTGCACGTCCACATTTCGAACCTCGCCGCCCAAACGGGCGCGTCGCTGTTCCTCCACAGCCATGCGCCTCCATTTCATCCGGCCCTCAATGGAACACATCCCACAAACTGGGTATACGACAAGACCGAGAACCTGTCGTTCGATGCCCTCACTCGCTCCCCAGAGATCACGCATCTCATCGCCGAGACAGCCTCTATAACCCCATCTGCGGCGAGTGCATGGGCGCCCTTGGCGATCGTGGACGGTTTCGATGGGTGGAAGTTCAATACTGATCTGAAGAATGTGTTCCAGGATGGGTTGTTCGAGGGTCTGAAAGGGCTCATGCATGTGCTGGAGATGGTGCGGAGCGAGAAGCTGGTGATCTTGAGGCGTAGGGCATGATGTCGCGCGTTCGTCCATGTCCCTATGTTCAACCTATGTATTCCTAACAGACTATTGAGGCAACTACAGAAGGACCGGAACAGGAACGACAGTCACGACAATTTCCTGCGAGGAGTCCGTATCGCGCTCATCTTCGAGGGTGATGTTATTCGAGACACTGGACGAATGGGCCCCTTCGCAGAGTCAAAGATTCGTCGATATCGTTACACTTCGTCCAATCATACACACGCACTAATCCAAGCAAGTATCAAGTATTACTTCTTCCTTCTTCCATGGCCAACGTGACACAGCACCATGTCCCGCACACGCAGCCGCCGCAGACAACCAGCGCCGGTTCACAAGTCGCTCAAGCCGTCGTCGGAGCCTTATACCACACATTCATGCGCACGAAGTTGTTGTACACCTGCCCCGACGTGAGGAGCGTGTCCTCGCCGCTCGGGCCGCGCACGCCCGGGTGGATCCACGCCGCGAGGGGCGCGTGGAACTCCAAAAACGCAGCGGCTGTCGCGAGACATAGATTAGCTCAACAGCATCCCTACACGGGGAACAGAGGAACAAAGGACGCACTTCCGGGACCATAGCCGTCGCCGACCGAGCCAGAGCCGCCGTGGATCTTCTTCCGCGCGCCCTTCTCGGGGATCGCGAAGTTGTTCGTGTAAAACTGCACACCGGGCTCTGCACCCGCCGGACATTCGTCAGTGAGCTATGAGCGCAGTAGAGGGAGAGAGGAAGAGGACTCGGGAGATGCTCACGGTTGGTCGAGAAGCTGACGCGGAGGCCGCTCTTCGCGCCCGCGAGGGAGACGACCTCCTCGGCCGCGGGACCGTCGCGCGAAAGCGCGGCGCCGACGAGATCAAGCTCGGGCTTGAACTCGGCTGCGGGAAGGATCGAGGGCGGGGGCGGCGCAGCGCGTTGTGAGAACACGTAGAACTCGTCTGCGAGTTCAGATGGCGCTCAATAGTTAGCTAACGAGCTCTGCAACATAGGACACACAGGAGGCAGAGACGCACCATATCCGCTCTCGGGGAAGGACTCGCCGATCAATCCGCTGGCTTTCTCCGTGTGTGCGAAGGGGGTGCCAGTCACCGCAAGCAGCGTTCCCGTGGCTAGGCCCTCTGGGTTGAGTTGGACAACGTTGTCGGCCTGGTCTAGGATGAACATGGCCACTACAGTGTCACTATTGCATGCTTCCACGTACCTTGATGTCGATCTTGTGCTCCTTGATGCTGAGTGTCTCCGGCCCCTCCTGCAGAGAGGCATCGAGGTTGAAGCCCCAGTGCTACCGATGATATACGGTCAGTCCGGAGATACTGCACAGAGCATGGGACGCACCTGGGTGAGATTAATCGGAGTGATCTTGTTCTCGTCTAGTAACTTCGCGCGGTAGACAAGGACGACACTCCCGAGGTTCCACTCCTTTCCTCCGTCCGACGTCTGGCTTGGGGCGCCCTCCGGTTGGGCGAGACCAATGAGCGCCTCGACAAGCAACTTACCAGGGTACCCCTCCTCGCCATCCTCGGATATCCTCCTGAAGATGATTGATGTAGGAATGCGAGTCTGGATGGTCGCGAGCTCGGCGGGGGTGAAGAGTTCTGAGGCGGAGGGGTCGACGAGAGGCTCCCAGACGTACTGGTCGAATCCCTTGACGCCGCCGTGGAGGGAGACGGTCGGCTTCTCGTTCGCCTTGGTAGCGACGACAGAGTGGATGCCGTCGCGATCGAGCGCGAAGGAGCCGACGGGGAGACGGTTCGCGTAGCGGCCGATAATGGTGTTGGTGTATTTCTGGGTGATGTGCCCCGTGGGGTCTTCGGGACCAATCAGGATGTCGTGTGTCTGCTCAATCTGTCAGGGATGTGTGGTTAAGATGGATGATAGACGCACCTTGCCATCTGCCTGGACAAAGAGCCTATGAAGGGTTAGACCTGCGGGCAGGATCTGAGGCGGGGTGTCGGTGGCGGTACGTAAGGTACGTCATTGCTATGGTTTGATGAGCGTACCTCGAGCGCGAGCGAGGGCGTGAGGGAGGGCAGCGTGAGGAGGATTGGGGTAAACCCCGGGTCTGCAGGGGCAGCCATCGTCAGCGTACGAGAACAAGAGTGAGCAGAGACGCGGGCAAGGAGAGCACAACCGAGAGCGGAACCCCGGCCCGGCAGGAACTTGCCATCTTATCTCATCGCCGAGGTTTCTGCTCACCTTCTTGCGACTCGGACTGGCTTGCAAGTTGCGACAATCTCCGCCCCGGGTTGCGTCACCCTCTAGACTCAAGAAAAGGAAGTGATAGGGCAATGCTAGCTAAGTGCTTGAATCTCAAAAGAATTGTCCGTGTCTCAGCACAATCATACACAGTACAGGAGGCACACACAGTGTTGACGATCTAGGCCGAGTAATCACACCGATGTCCCGACCGTGCAATGCATGCTTCGCGACGTACTCTCACTATGGGTACCATACACAAACACCTATGTTACGAAGACAGGCTCCGCATGTCTCAGTCTTACAGGCATATCGCCGCGTGATGGTCATCACCGTGCCAGGACAGCTCTCAAAAGATCCTCCAACGCCGCCAACCGCGCGTCGAGCTTGAGGTTTGACGCGTCGAGCTTGAGGTTCGTCGCGTCAAGCTTCGCCTCCACGCGAGCGATACGCTCTTCCACAGTCACGGCCTTCTCTTGGTCCGTCTCAGCGGTGATCACCTCAGCCCCTGGCGCAGAAACGAGGGTGTGGAACCAATTGTGCGGACCCGCGCCGCTCGGTGCAAATGGACCTCTCAGGTACAGCCATTCCTTCTCGCGCTCTATGCGCTCGTTGCAGGCATAG